TCACTCAGGTCGATGGGCACTTCGCCTTAGCTGTTACAATGTAATAAGGGTTAACCAGAGAGGCAGTTTCTGTAAGCAGATCAGTAAAGTTTAGGGTAGAAACAACACTAGAATGTTTCCTTCCTGCCTTCTTTACAGGATTAGCCCTGTAAAGTGGAAAAAACAAAAGGAGATTTCTTCCAACAATCGGTTCTCTGAATTACTTAGAAAGTTACCAGCCGGTTCTCCTGAATAGGTACGAACTGGCTGAATCCCACCACTGCTTACAGCACCTTAGTGGCATTCGCACCTTCACTTCTTAAGATAGAAAGCATTAAGGTTATTTGGGAAAGTCAATGTGGTTATTCATTATTCTTTCTAAATGTTACCCTCTTATTAATGTTTTCTAGGCATATTCTTTAGTGGATCGTGAGGTTGGTTACTGTCAAGGAAGTGCTTTTATTGTTGGTCTGCTCCTTATGCAGGTAGGAAGAAAGACCCTCCTATTGCAAACGTTATCTTGAAATTCTACTACTTCATTTAAAGTAAGATAGTAATAATAAAAGGAGGGGCAGTATTTACAAATTAGAACACCCTCATTTTGGGAGTTGTCATAATTTATCACAGATGTATATATATTTCAAGTCACACTCTTAAGTTGTTGGGGTTGAGTCAAGGTTTGAAGATGATGTTCATTTCTCTTCTGCAGGCAACTATATATTTGTTCACTAAAAGGGAGAAAATCTCATTACATCTGACTTTTTTTTTCTTTAAAGGGTTGTTCTAGAATATAGAAATAGGTCTTCTATGGGAGAAGATTTCTAGAGAATTGCAACATCTTCCAGCAAGACGTATATAATCTCATTCAGAAAGATACTAAACCATAACTGTATGTGGTTTGATTATAAATCAAAGGGACTTTTTCCCTAACATGAGGTCACGGATAACACCAATTCCAATGGTGCTTTATGCGAGCACTGTATTAGATAATAGTAGAAAGATTGGTTACAATGTTTTTTATTGCCAAGAAATTATTAGTGTTAGAAGTCTAGTGTAGAAAGGCCTAGGATTGTATGTTAATCGCAGAACATATTTACTCAAATTGATAGAAGAAAGAGGAGCCTCGTTCACATCTGTATTGCTTACCGGTTCCACCACAAAACCGCGGTAGACTAAAGCGCGCTCGACGAAAGCGCGTACCTGACATCATCCGCAGCGCGACAAATACAACCGCAGAGAAAAAAGGGCGCTTTAAAAAGCGCTTTTAAAGCAAGCCGATTCACGTAAAGATAAGGGTTAGGTTTAGGGTTAGGGTTAGGGTTAAGGGTTAGGGTTACATTAAGCGTTAGGGTTAGGTTTAGGGTTAGGGTTAGGGTTAAGGGTTAGGGTTAC